TTAAATGGGTAATTTTCTTTGCTTTATGGATAACTGTTTTTTTTTTGTTATTAGCTACCTTTTTTCAGTTATACATCTAGTCTAAATCGTTCTTATTTGTTATACATATTTTTTATGCAGAGTGTGGTTTTACAATAAGGTAATATCAGCAAAAGAAAATTATTTAATTTATATAGGAATATACGATATTTACAATTGAAAATACGTACAGTATTTTACATTTCTCTTGTTTAAAAAGTGATGTTAAAATAATGTTTTATAAAGTAAAAAAAAAATATAACTTAAAAATTACTTAATATTATATCACATTAGTTTATTTCAACATATAATATAATATTAAAATATTAAAAAATTATTGATATTAATTAAACTATATATATTTTAATATCTAAAATTTAATATACATATATATATAATCATTAAAATAATATCTTATAAATTAATTATTAAATTGATAAAATTTAATATTTACTTTTTCTTATACATTAACAATTTCCATCTAGTTTTAGTTTTTTTATTTTATTTTTTTTTTATAAACCAACAAATTTATTAATAAAAAAAACCTAAGGTGAAACTCTAGAAATGCTCCCACTTAGTCCAAGAGAATTAGAGTACAGGTTTTTCTTTTTTGGTCTACAGAGAGAGTACTTACCCAGTACCACAAAAACACATAAGCTTTAAGGCCCAAATAAAAAATAAGGACCAACCCAAATCGATTTCAAGACACAAAGTTAAAGCATAATTGAGGCCCCAATGTATGAAAATTTGCAAATGTCTTTTGAAATTAAGAACGGGTAATTGGTGTTGAAGGAGCAAAGAAAGAGGTGGCAAAGCTTCAATGGCGTGTGGTTGTGATAATTAGTAATGCCATGACGATGTTCTACACTCTAAATGGATTAACTTCTAACCTTAACCAAATGCTTTCTTTAAATGGTTGTTTAATTAAACGTAACAGATGAAAAATAAAGGGAGTCAGCTAAGATATAAAGTATATAGAAATAAAAAGGAAAAATAAAACCACCACGGACAAGGCGATTTTGTCCCATTTCATAGGAGTAAACTAAGTGCCTCTTTACATAGCTATCAAAATGAACTTTGCCTAAAACCAAAATAACTCTCTTCAAAATATTTCACCGTCTTTAAATCTAGAAATACATAGCGTGACATTTTGTATAATTGTCGATTTTTTTTATAATAGTTTTGTTTTTATTTACTTGTCATATTTTAAGATTCGAGGCAGCATTAATTATTTTTGTATCAATTTTATTTTTATTGAGTCTAATTTTAGATTAATTGACACATATGTAATTAATATGTATTTATTGTAGAGTTAAAATAAAAGGAGTGTAAGAAAAAAAAATTACGAAAAAGGAATGGAGGTAGTAAAATAAAATTAATAAAACCTAAGACAAGTCACGTATTATACTAAAAAAAATTAGAAGGTAAAATTGGAAAATTCCGAAATTAAACTTAATTCTGGTGTATGGAAAAAGATACAAACAAATATGAAAAAAAAAATTAAGTGGAAGGTTTTCTTTTATGATAAATTAAGTGCAAGTTAAATGAAAGAAGAAAAAAAACTATATATTTATTACAATCCGGTGGAACAATAATTGTCCTCCAAAATTTTTAATCCATTTACAATTAGTCAGGTAGCACAAGGTTTGAAGAAATTTACTTAAATAAACTCACTTAACTAAAATTATTCAAAGAAATACAGTTTTTGAATACTAAAAATCTCAAAGGATAAATAATTAAAATACCAATATGCCTTTACTCGGGAAAAAAAATTCCTCCCTAAAGGTTGATCATGTATAAACTAAATTGAACTAGCATATTCATAAATAAAAAATGAAAATTGAACTAGCATATTCATAAAAAAAAAAATCAAAATTGAACTAGCATAAACTAAACATAATTAAGTACGCACTGAAGTTTCAGCGTTTATTCATATGTCAATCAATTACGCCAACGTTGTCTTGTTGGTCATACATCATCCTTCCGTAATTGCAACATATGCAATATAACAAAATAACATCAATATAGTTGTCTTATGAATAAAAAATATTTATTAACTAATACTGTCAGTCTCATACGGTTGGCATTGCCATTGACAACAACTCGTGCTTATCCACATTTCAGTTTTTTTATAATAAAAAAGTATCGTTAGTAAAATTATTTTATTAATATTTTTCATCTCAAGTTAGACAATAATTATCGGTATTGAAACATGTCGGTGAAGTTTTCTCATTTTATAAATATTCTGCTGTACTTTTTTTTTTTTTTTTTAAAGTGAAAACTTTAGTATAATCTAAATGAGTAATGATATATTTTCCGAAAAGACTGTTCGAATCACCTTCTGAAATATTAAAGTATTAATATTTTTTAATAAATTTATTAAAATAATTATTTAATTTAGTATTTTATAATTTGAATTAATATTTTAATTATTTAGAATGATTTTTGAAATTTACTTTTGGAAGATCTATCATTTTTCGATCTAGATAGTTAACTTTCTTTACTTTTATTTAATAATACTTGTGATTATTTTTTTATATAATTTATATTCTTTTATACAAATTAATATTAAAGATTGATGGAACATGTAATATGCAATCTCACAATTTTTTTTATATTAATGATTTATTGTAACCTAACGTGAAGTGCGTTAATCAACACTTGAAAAAAAATACTAAAATTTTATGTACATAAATTTAATTTTCATCACTAGGTGTATGATATTTATGTGAAGCTTTTATATAGTTTTTTTTTATCTATAAAAAAATAAAAAGAACATAATATTATAACTGAATGAATAAAAACACTTATTGTGTTTATTACATGGAAATAATACAAGATAAACAAAAATAATTACCACATAATTAACGAAATTTTAGATGAAAAATCATATTTAACAAAAATATTTGTACATTGATTATCTTCCTGTGTAGAAAGGAAAAATTTTAGGGACAAAAACGAATTTTATAAATAAGATAACAACATGAAATGGGTGGTAGAAAGAAGACACATATTCTGACTACTACAAAAAAATTATCATTTAGTAACATACATACAATATTTGTTACCAAAAAATATTTTTACCTAATATTATAGATATAATATATTTTGATATATTGTTAAGAAACATAAATATAAATTATAATGATATATAATATATATATCATTAAATATCATTCAAAATTAATACTAAAATAGTGTGTAGTTATATGTCAAATAAATTTATATTTATATATAATATATTTATAATGACACGTTTTATATATTACTATATATCCTTATTTTAAACTAGCTTAGAAAACAAATTTGTGGCATGATCACAAAAGTCCGAATACCTTTAAAACTAATCACTTAAATGATCCTTAATTAAACCTCCATAGTTTGAGGTTAAAATTTTTATTTATTTATTTAAAATATTTATTTTATTTACTTAGTTTAAATTTATTATTTTTATTATTTTTCAAATAAACAATATTATTTAAAAATTATTTATTTAATTTTAGTTATTTATTTATTTTGTTTTAAATTTTTTTATTTATTCTCTTGTAGAATTTTTATTTAAATATTAAAATAAACAACATTCAATAAAATTATTTTTATTTATTTTTAATCTATTATCTATTTATCTTTCTCTTCTCTTTTTTTATATTTTTTAAATATATAATATTATTTTGAACCTATTTTTCTTATCTTATTAATCATATATAATATTATTTCTCTTTCATCAAAGAATTTTATTTTATTTTATTATCTATTTTTACTCAATTATATTTCTCGTATGTATTTCTCACTTTTTTTTCCCTATGTAAAAAAAATACTATTAATAAGTTTAGTTATTTGATTGCGTATTGGCCACTGCTGCTACTGGTCGTACATAGCAGATAACATGATCCCAGTGGCAGTACGGTCGTGGATTTCATCGAATCTACTTTATTTGGTGCTTTTCACAGTCTGTCATTTTTAGATTCAAAAGGGAAATGCAGAGAATGACGTGCAACAATCACAGCCCAACACCTGGATTTATAAAATGCTCCTCTCATTTTTCTTACAAAAAAAAGTTCCATCCACTTACTACTTATACGGCGTTAGTAACAGTTATTATAAATTATAAACTAAATAAATAATTTTTCAGTCCAATTTAAATTAATTCGTCTATTATAATTATATGTTTTTATAATTTATTAAAATATATTTTAAAATAAAAAATTTAAATATATTAATAATTGTCTTGAAGATGATTGTATCATAAATAAAGACCCTTTTAACCCCAGGTGTTTAGTTTAGTGGTAGAGATTGATTCACGCTTAAGTAAGATTAGGAGTTCTTACCTGTGTATGCAGCCGCGTTAAATCTTGGGACCAAATATCCTATCTTTTGAGGTGCCTTCAACATAGTGAGGAGATTAATTATTGCTATCGGCGGTGAATATTAAAAAAAAAAAACGCTTTTGTTAAATTGCACTAACTTTTGGTTTGTCCAATTAGAAATCAAAGATCCGACATTGCGCACTATCGACTATGGAGCTTTTTTTGTACTTGGTTTCGGATAGCATTCCACTTGTTCAGAATTTTCTTTCCCCTAATTTCACCCACGGAAAGAGATAAATTTAAAAACAATATAATGACACTATTTTTCATATAGACAATTTTTAATAAACTTTATAATATTACATGTGTATGTATATATATCCAATTAAAAGAATGAACAGTAATGATGATTGGAAAAAGTTAATGAGAGAGTGTTGATTACAATGAAGGTGGTGGTGAGTAGGAGGATGTTTGATTAAGAAAAAGAAAAGGTTAAAAAGTGTTTATATTATAAAGTGGCATATAAATGTAATGCATTTTATCCAGAAGGAAAAGGAAAAAGAGTAGACGAGGAGAAGCAAATCCAGTTAAAAATTAGTATTGCGGACGAAGGAGCTTCTAGTTCTATCCAAAAGGGACCCACAAAGTTTGCACTTTTCTGAGGAATCCCAAATATCTCTCTCACATCATCTAATCCCTTCTCGTATGCCTGCCTTTTTCTCTCTTCGAATTTGTTCCCTCTTCCCCTCCCTACATCACCCCTGCCCCCTTCCAAACTCACCTCTCACAGCCACAAGCTCTCTTACCCATTTTTCTTTGCCTCTTCTTTGGATTTGAATTCTGATCTTTTAGAGTTACTGCATCTGTGAGCAAGATCGGTCGCGTGCATAGGTTCCCCGGCTACCCAGTTCAGAAAAGTTGAGATTTTATATCATATCGAGAAGTGGGTAGATTGGATACTCGCAAGTTCAGTTCTGAATCGGAGAATCATGTCTTGGTTACAAGTTTGCCATTAAACATAAAAAAGGGGAAGGTCTTTGTATATTATTAGGAAGATTCAGGATGAAGAGAGGGAAAGATGATGAAAAGGTGATGGGGCCAATGTTCCCTAGACTACATGTCAATGATACAGAGAGGGGAGGTCCAAGAGCACCACCCAGGAATAAGATGGCCCTCTATGAGCAGTTTAGTATTCCATCTCAAAGGTTCAATTCAGGTGTTCTGCCACTCAACCCAAATATTTCAAGTAATACAGTTCCCCCAGCATCCTCAAGTCAGGTAATATCTGGATTTTTTTATGGTGGCTTTGCTTATATAGTCTTAATTAATGTTGTTGTGGTTTTTTAGTTAAGACTTAAGAGTACTTTAATTTGCCAATCAATGATTCTGTTATTTTTTATGTTCTGACTAAGAGTTGGTATTATTCTTCTTTTGTATGTGCAAGTTAAGATATGGTTGTCTTCTTTTTGAATGTTTAGAATTGGATTAACATATTTGCAGGGGACCGTCCCTGAGAGAAATCATGTCTTCCCTGTTCACTTGCCACCGCAAAATCCTATTCGTCGAGCTGAAAAGTGCATCTCTCGCCAGTCAGAAGGGGCAAATTTGAGTGCTTCTCTTGAACAGAGAAAGAAGATAGATGAAGATGACTTTAGGGTTCCTGTATACATTCATTCAAGGATTGGTCAATGTAATAATAAAAGTGTTGAGAGTTTTGATGCGAAAAAGCTCACTCCTACAGGCTTTAGGTATTTCGGTGGTTCTGTTGCAGGGCAAAGTGATTGTGAAAGGGATCCAAAGCAATTTGGCTCCTCACTTGTCAATATGAGAAAAGATGTGAGAAGCGAGATTGATGGTCTTCCACAAGTAAGTACAAGGAAGGAGCATCCATTGATGTCTGTCACAAGCATATCAACTGGAGAAAATATTGACACAGTAAAACACGCTAAGGTCACTCCGAATCAAGAGTTTCAAGATTGTCATGTATCAAAACAAAACAGATTACGGCAAGGAGATGCTTGCTTACGGCATGATTGTGGAGTGGCGTCTCAATCCAATGACATTGGACATAATGGTTGCCTTGTTGAATCTGCAAGGGAGACAGACAAGGGAAATGCCCCTACAGTAAACAAAATTAGTCCAGCTGAGGCAATCAATGATACCAGACATCATGGTACCAGGACGGGCAGTTCGATACAGAGGGGAAACTTAAATAAAAGTGACAATGCTTCCAAGATCTCCATGGTAGAAAATTTGTCAACTGCGAAAATTTCTCCCGATGATGTTGTTGGAATAATAGGTCAAAAACATTTCTGGAAAGCTAGAAAAGCCATTGCTACGTAAGTCATGTTGCTTGCCAAATAGCATTGGCGTTTCCTGTAGTGGTCTTAAAGAAGTATATCCTTGTGAAATATTTTTCTGTCATATAAGTAGTGAATTATTTTAATTGCTTGGACCTGACAGTATCTTAATTGTTGAGTTTTGTGAATATCATAATTTTGGCGTAAAAATATCTTTAATTTTTTTTTCATGGACAACCATAAAGTTTTACAATAAAAAAACCCAAAGTACTGTTTTTGGTGGAAGCTTGAAATGTCCACTGATTTTATTATCTTTATTTTGGTGGAATGGTGAAATTTCTTCTTACCTTTCTTATTTTTGTCTCCATGTGTGATTAGCTAGAATATGTAAAAAAATTCCCTTGGAGAGAAAAAATGTAGGATCAGGAAATGTGAATTTTAAGAAACTGTTTCCATATCATTTTTGTTTTCTCCTTTTGCCACAAATGTAAAGTATCCTTTATGCATCCTTAGTTATATACTAGGCATATAGGTTGGATATTTTCATTTCAATTAAGGAGTTGTATATGTGGCGTCAAAGAATTGAAATTTGATAGTCTTGGGTCCCTTCTATTTTTTTGTTTTTGGTATATTCAAAGTCCTTAGTGGGATGTTGTTGTACATTCAAAGTCCTTAACAATGTTTTAATGGTGGGTACTGGTTACAACAGGGCAGTGAACACTCTTAAATATTATACTATGTTGGAGGGGACCCTTGTGACAGCAGATCATCATGATTCACTGTCTTCTAGCAACTGGATTTTGGATATATTCCTGTCTTGGTTTCCTCTTGCTTGGTTCTCCATGTCACCACTAGGGCAAGTTTCCATACACTACACTGAAGGACTTGTACTAAGAAGGGGACCAAGTAATGCAGGATGACCCTGGATATATGGTAGGGACACTTGGAGAGTTTATGATGAGTCCTCAATTGAAGTTACAATGACAATGGGATTTCTCCCCCTTTTCTCCAACTTCTCTAGTGTCTTCGTTTTCTATTTTTGAGACATTTGGGTTGGGAATTTTTTTAATAATGCACACTGTAGTTAGTTTAGGTGTCCTGCGATCTATAGCTGACAGAAATCATATCATAGATATTTTTGTACGATTTTGATGTATATGTGCTTCCCCACAGCTCCAGAAAAGAAGTTTACTATAAAGTTTTACAATTTTGTGACTGCTAAATGCTAATGTTCCCACAATTGGTTGTATGCCCCTATGCTCCCTGTTATCTAGTCTTTATTCTGGACAGGGACAGTAAAATTGTGCAAATATTTCTATTGAATTATATAACGTTTTTTCTGTGCTAATTTAATTGGGTTTGGATACAAGTTTTTACTGTCTTAAACTATGTGAGAAAGCTTGTTTATGTCCCAAGTGTGGCATTTTATCTTTATGAAGCTGATATTTATCAATTTATGTCGTATCAATATGATCAGTCCTCTTGAAAGAATCATATTAAGTTTTGTATGAAGATGTGATATATAAAAATTGCAGACCGCAAGGTATTCTGCTTAACCAGTTACCTATGTGATTGCAGATCCTTTAATTTCATTAGTTAGTGGTTTTTATATTGGTGCTTCCAACACGATCATATATAGTTCCAATTGCTTCATTTAACATTTTATTTGTATATGCCGCAAGTCCTTATTGGACGAGTATTGTGCAAGTTTCTTGATCCAACTCCTGTTCCTCTCTACAGTCAACAGAGAGTGTTTGCTGTCCAAGTGTTTGAGTTGCATAGATTGATAAAGGTAAATTATCTGACACTGCTCAGCAGCTTGTGTTGGCCAAAATGAGAAGTTTATTGACTTTTCCTGCACACACACTATCATTCTGATTAATTCTTTTTATCCAAGCAGGTCCAACAGCTGATTGCTGGATCACCAGATATTTTGGTTGAAGATGGTACTTTTCTGGGAAAGTCTCCTGCGAAGGAATCTACTCCCAAGAAACTCCCACTGGAATATGTTGTAAAACCTCGGCAACAAAACCTTAAGCACAAAGATGATTCCGAAAAGCTAAACCATAAAATGGAATGTTGTGCAGAGAATGCAGTTGGCAAAACATCTCTTTCATCGGTGAAAAACGGTAGCCACCTTTCAAATTACACCCCTTTTCCTGGAAATCCGCAGCAAACAAATGTGGGTGCTGATAGTGGGATGGGCCCCTGGTGTTTCCATCAGTCACCTGGGGACCAATGGTTAATTCCTGTGATGACTCCTTCGGAAGGGCTGGTCTACAAGCCATATCCTGGGCCTGGATTCACAGGAACAGGTTATGGAGGATGTGGCCCTGCTCCTTTAGGTGGTGCTTTTATGAATCCTGCCTATGGAATCCAAACTTCTCATCAAGGAGACACTCCTCCTGGCAGTCATGGTTACTTCCCTCCATATGGCATGCCATTTATGAATGCAGCAATGTCAGAGTCAGCTGTTGAACAAGTGAACCAGTTTTCTGCATTAGGTTCTCGTGGTCATTTATCCAGAGGGGAAGGCAATCTTAACACAAACAATCAAAGCTCTTGTAATTTACCAGTTCAGAAGAATGGAGCAATGTCTCATGCCCTGAAATATCAGACATCTAAGGACTTTGATTTGCAGGGTAGTACAGCAAGTAGTCCTGGTGAAATGGCACAAGGATTAAGCACAGGGCAACATGCCGAAGGAAGAGACGTACTTCCCCTTTTCCCTATGGTTTCTGCAGAACCAGAGTCTGCTCCTCAGTCCCTTGAAACCGGTCAGCAAACTCGAGTAATCAAAGTGGTGCCTCATAATCGAAGATCTGCAACTGAATCAGCAGCTAGAATTTTTAAATCGATTCAAGAAGAAAGAAAACAGTATGACTCGGTGTAGTGATGATAGTGTGTAGTTCTTGTACTTCATTGGAGTATGTCATGTAACGGGCTGTTGTATTTTATACTTTTTGTTTTGGTTTTGACCTTTTTACAGAACATTGGTATGTAGATATATCTGGCATATCAAAACTGGTCAAAATGTAATATTTATTGTATGTAATTTCCACACCTTTGACACATATTGTGTTGGCTCTCTACTTCCTCTTTGCTTGGGAGGTTGTTGACCCTAATGGAGACTGGTCGTGATTGTCATACATGAATTTCATGTAATTGATTTGGCAGTGGAAATGCAACTCCGCTCAATTTGCATGCGAATGCGATATATATGTAGACAACTTTCAACATTTTCATTCCATGGGTACTTGTTCACACCATTCTAATTATTAGTGGTTCACATTCATTCCGTTTATTGAATTTGTAATTTGTAATTACACATCGTTTAATCACGTTGGACGCGAGATCGGAGTAGCCCACCCACCAGCAGCAACCTTCCAAATCCCAATACCGTATGTAGCCTCACGAGAGTGTATTAAAAAGTTGCATTCAAATAAATTGTTATGAATAGCTTTCGGTTTCATCTTTCTAAAATGTAAAATTTTTAATTTTAGTTTTTAATATTCATTTTTAGATAAATAACATTTATTTTACATATCCTAATTTTTTTTTTTTTTTGAGAGACATATCTTAAAATTTTGAATAGGTGTCAAATGATGATTTATCATAGACAAGTGATAATACACACGGTAAATACTTAAGATCGCCATATGAAAGTGAAGATTAAAAATAATGATTTTTAATTTTAAAGTGAAAAATTTACTTGATTGAAATTATTAATCGCTAATCTTATGAGGTTAGAAAACAATTTGGAGTTAATTATGTTATACATTTTTGTAAGCCAAGGGAAGAATTAGACAGTTTGGCCGAGTGGTCTAAGGCGCCAGATTTAGGCTCTGGTCCGAAAGGGCGTGGGTTCAAATCCCACAGCTGTCATAATTTTGGTGTTATACTTTTATTTTTAAATGATTGTATTAAAATAAATATAGTGTAGAACGACATCTTTTCATCAACGACAGTTTGGCCGAGTGGTCTAAGGCGCCAGATTTAGGCTCTGGTCCGAAAGGGCGTGGGTTCAAATCCCACAGCTGTCATATTATAAGTTAACTTTTTTTATTTATTTATTTTTATTTATTTTATTTTATATTTTATTTTTTGGATACTTTTATTATTGTAAGTATATGTTAAGGCATTGTTTTCTTCATACGTGACTTTTAACATAATTAACGGCTAGTTTTAATTTAAACTCATACTGTCAATTATGATAATTTAAAAATAAATAGAAACTGTATATTAAATTCCACAATTTACAATAGGGTTATAAAGGTGCTTAAATATTTCATCTTCTAAAACTCCTACTATATATTACTTTCAACTATATTTATATTAGTATGAATTAAAATGCAATATCTTAGGCAAAAAGAATTTAAGTTTATTTTAAAAAGGAAAAAATAATGTAATTTTAGGGAGTTATATATATATATATATATATATATATATATA